TTTCCCTTTGGGGTTGCTGTAGGTGATCTGGAAGTCTGGTTTTGAGACTTATTTATGTGTTTTCTCATTTTGACTGGGGGGGCAGGAGGGTGCTGTTCGCGCCTACACAGCTCACCTCCTCTGAGCTGGGAGAGTTGGGACAGGTTCTGGGAGCGGATGTAGGGATTGTGGCCAGGAAGCCCCTTCCTCTGGGCTCGGAGTGGCAGGACAGAAGGGGGCCCAAAAGCCCTTTCCTCTGGGCTGGGAGCAGCAAAAGGGATGGTTGCCATGAAGCCCCTTCCTCTGGACCAGGAGCAGTGGGACGGCGGTTCAGAAGGCCCTATCTCTGGGCCGGGAGCGGTGGGAGGGATGGTGGCTGGGAAACCCCTTCCTTTGGACCAGGAGCAGTGGGACAGAACCTCAGAAGCCTCTACCTCTGGGCTGGGAGCAGCGGGATGGATGATAGCCCAGAAGTCCCTTCTTCTGGGCTGGGAGCGGCAGGATGGATGGCAGCCCCAATGCCCTTTCCTCTGGGCTAGGAGTGCCGGGAGGTATGGTGGCCTGGAGGCCCGTTCCTCTGGAACAGGAGCAGTGGGACTGCAGCTCAGAAGCCCCTACCTCTGGGCCAGAAGTGACGGGATGAATGGCAGCCCGGAAGCCCCTCATAGTATTCACTTTTAATCTGGCTTCTCTGGCATTCTACAGAGCTTGCCTGAGCCTCAGGTACATATGATGAGGAAGCTTTGTGGAAAGGAAGATTCCAGGGAATAGTGACAAAGGGAAAATTCTAAGCAAGTTTTAAGCCAGACTGAGGGCTTATAGGCTACTAAACAGAGGGACCTCTCTAGAAAAATTTGTTGTAGAGTGGTTAAGGTTTTCTATATTTTCTATAATTGGGCAAAGGCACAGAGGGGACCTTCTGGCTGGTGGGAAAAAAAAAGCTTCACAAAGTCCCTACCTGTGCCTCCACCAGTGGGAAAAGATGGATAAGTGGAATTCACAATTAATCAGAGTCTTCCTATGCCCTTCTCTGCCACACTCTCTTCACTACCTTTATTGGTGTCTCCCTGCCCTGCAGGCAATTGGGTCATGGCCTGCAACCAGCAGAGATTGCAGCATTCCAAAGAAGCAAAGCAGAAAGGCAATTGGTGAGAAACAAGCCATAAGGTAATGGCCAGCAGGAAAACAGAGCACAGGAGCTTGCACATTTTTCAAAGCTGGGCCTCCCTTTGGCATGTGTGCCAGTCTCAGCCTTTACTCTGATGGCAGAATGTGACAGAGCTGGTGAACTTCCAAGCTTCACTGAGTTGGACAAAAACCTTGTTGTGGGAAGGCCTGTTGCAGCAAAAGGAATACTTGAGGGGTTGACTTCCCTGGCCAGAGAGACCCTTGCCTTCTCTACTGATAACATATTTGAATACTAACAAGGCTGGCCTTGTTACTCAGTTATCAGTCAGCTGCACCTGTCTCTTTCATTGGTGAGCACGTAGGCCACATGGTGAACCACTTAAGGTCTTTAGAAACTTACATCTAAATCAGCAACACTGCAATATTGCTACTACCTCCTCTTCCTGGGATCTATTTACACAATCATCTTGATGGGGATTCTTATGTTATTTCCACTTGAGGCACTTTCTGATCCCTTCCAAGACTGGGACTGCCAACCAAAATAGACTGGCTATTATTTGAATACTTGGCTTGGATTCAGGACGATTTTCCCCATTCTTCCTCCCTTACTAGGATGAATGATTCTGAAGCAGCAACACCAAGCAAATTATCAATTAATCTCACCAAGTATTTATCTCTGAGAAATCTATTACTTTCTTGTGCTCCGCTTAGCACCTCTTCTTTTCTTTACCTTGATTACTTATTCTCTTTTTTCTTGGAGATTCTGACCCTAAAGACCATTGCTCCCTCCATATATCCTTGGAAGTCACAAGATTCTAAAATAAACATTAGGGCTTCCCCACGCATTCCTACTACTTTGTTCTCTAGCATGCTCCAGAATAATCACAATTCTAGCAGCAACTACCGAAGGCATCCACACATTTCCTATTCTCCCTCTAGTCTCTGTCGACTTTGTCAACTTTCTGTGTTGTTTTTCTCTTAAGAAAACCCCACTACATCTTCACTTTCTGCAATGATCACGGGTACCCTGTGCTAGTCATAAACATTTCTGCTTTAGAAAATCTTCTGTATTGAGCAAACAGCTCATCTACAGTCTTCTACATCATCTGCTTACTTCTTGCCAGGTCTGGCATCTGGCTCTGTTCTTTCCTGCTCACCAAAAGAAGCAGAGAAGCAGCTGGGGCACACAGTCATCCAATTCCTAGAAACTTTCTTTCCTATGAGTAAGGACACACAAGGACACCTTCAGTTACAGATATAGTCTACTGTTCTCTCTCTCTCTCTTTCTCTCTCTTTCTCTCTCTCTCTCTCTCTCTCTCTCTCTCTCTCTGCAGGAAGATGTTTGGAAGCTCTTGAAAACTCTTTGACAGACTGCTGTAGATATTGGAGGTGCTGTATAAGAAGCTATCCATTCCTAAAAATGTGCTGGAGTTTACAGCAGAATATACTGCAGCTGACTCCCAGAGGCTGGCTGTGTGCTTAGTAGTACTTTCCTGGCATGCAAATGAATGTAGCTTAGGCCACTTATAAACTTATCCATCGGGATCACCTTGACAGAAAGCCAGCTTCTGAGAACTGTGCTAATAGGAAACATTGAAACCACTGGCCCAAGAGGGAACTGAATCTCTGATTCTGACCTCATTATTACTTGTGCTTTAAATTAGCAGGCTAATTGACCACAATGGCCTTGGTGGCCTGTGTAAATCACAAAAATATCCAAGAAGGATAGCCTTGGAAAATTTCAGAAGGCTTAACCTAACTCCAAAAGCTCTTGGACACCTCATTTATCTCTTTATTCTTGTCACTCAGCACCACCACCTATTCCAGATTTCCAACTTTCTGTGAATTTACAGGCCTATTTTTACTAAGATGGGGCCAACTTACAAAAGACTCATAGTATCTATGAAGGCCTCTGAGGTATTGCTGCTATCTTGAGTGATATTGGGGGAAAACTGAAACCTTTAGTGTCCTATCATGTTAGACAGGGGAAAGAAAACATGTTGTGAAAGAAGGCACAGATTTGGTGAACTGATTACAGGGCCTGCCTCTCAGGCAGAGCCTGCTGTTGGCCTAGTAGCTCTTATTTCATGTCTCTAAATAGCCATCACTTCTCAAACATGTATTTCACTTCATCTATTTATTTTTCATAAATTTCACCAACTGTGGTTAATTTGAGGCTGATAAGTCACCTCTTTTAATCATAAATATTCTTTTTGGAGGATAAGAAATGTCTAATCACCCATATCACAATGAAGGTGAACTAAGCTAGCTAGTCAGGAGGACTTGTGAGTTTCATTTTTATTAGGACAAGAAGAAATGAAGAATTTGGCACTTTTGCGGAACGGAGAGTCACGGTGGTAGATTTGAGAGAACATATGAGCAATCGATCCCTGGGAGATCAGAGAACGGGAAAATAAGTACTATGGTGGAAAAGTCAATTTAGATTCTACTTCTTATGTGGTTTGTGTCCTTTGAATATACAGAATGAGTAGAAAGCACACTTTTCCTTCTGCTCTCAGGACCCAAGATCCTCACCAAAACTCTGAGTTAAATCAGAGGATGTGAACCCTTAAGAATAGTAGTGAACCACCTCCAAGTTTAGTCATTCCAAAATAGCAGGCTCAACTTGGAACTATGATAAGGTCTCTATTTTCACGGAAAAAAAGCAGGAGGCAGGTTGTTTTCTTTTTCACTTTATTTCATTTCATTCAAATACTTACAGAAAGTACTTGGTGAGCATAATTTATATCTTAGATACTAGGAGATTTGTGCCAGGAAAGAAATCTTCCAGCAAATGTACATTTGAATCCCAGACCACAGTGACCACAGTTGGTTGGAAGGCAGAGGGAATAGGGGGAGGAAAATAATCTGGCTAATCATGTTGTTTGGGTAACTGAAGAATAAGAAGTATTTTCATTGTTTTTTATTGTGTATTGCTCAAAATCTTTCCAAAACTATCATGGTCTCTTTTTCCATCTAATTGAAGAGAATCTGGGCAATGTAATTGAATTGTCCTTGCTAGGTGAGTTCCTCACTGGGCTTTCAGAGCCATATTCTGAACATGATAGAATAAATATAGGAGAAATTGTCAGGGTAAAGGATATAGAACTCATAGATCCAACTGAAATATTCTCTTAATAGTTTGGATTTTCCTTCTCTTGTCTTGCCCACCTTGCCTTTCAACCCATGACCCCTGTCCCTAAAACGAATCCCTTTTAACATTTGTTTTTACTTTTTCTTTAGCTTTCCAGATTTCACTTTCAAGGGGTTACTGGCAGTAGCTTGCCACAGTCACATGGACCAAAGCAATAAGACTTAAGTCATAGGCATGTTTAAAATAGTTGTTAAACAAGTTTTTCTTCCCTTTCATTATGAAATAATCTCTTTATTAAAACACCTGAACCCAAATATATACATATATATATATACATATATATATATACACATATATATATGTAAAAGCAGTTAATTATTTCATAGCAACCTTTTTAAACAAAAGAAAAATGCTTAAAGTATAATTTGTTACCTTTCTCACTACTATTTAATTTTCCCATTATTGACTCCCTCTGAATCTGAGCTTAGAGAAAAAAGCACTTCCTGGTAGTTTCTCTCAGTCTTCAGAGTACACTTGTATTACTCTCTCTTAACTTCTCAGACTCAGGTGCTCTATTTACTATGCCAATGCTGTTCAAGAGGTTGCAGAAAAGCTGACATTGCTTTTCAACTTTCTTAAGCTGAGTTTTTAGTTCATTTTTGATATCTGGTAGAGAAGATGGAGATCTAAAGCATTATCCTTGAAGACATGGTGGTGCATACTTATAATCCCAGCTATTTATTCAGGAGGTTAAGGTAGGAGGATCCTGAGCTCTATGCCAGCCTGAATAACTTAAAGGGAAAGAGAGAGAGAGAGAGAGAGAGAGAGAGAGAGAGAGAGAGAGAGAGAGAGAGAGACAATATTCTACTTATGTAAAAGACTCAGCCAAAAGCTGAGCTTTTAAGACTTAACTTCTAGAGAGAGGCACAAACCTAAGAAACAGGGCCTTCACTTCCTCCAGAGGAGGTAGCATTACCCTCTAGTATGAATAGGGAAGGATCATTGTAGGTGAGGGAGTGTAATTGTGTCCATAGCTACAAGGCTCCATGGATCAGGATTCTCCAAGATGGTCCAGTTCTTTAGAGCTAGGAGCTATAACCCCAGGTTTGGGCCTGCAAAGAAACACTGCCCAACTAGGATATTTATTGAGCAATGAGATTAATCTCTAGGCATGTATTTGATCTTATCGCTTATTCCCCTCCTTCTTATTTCATCCTGGTAGTCCAGCATGTAAACCAACCTTATCATGTTTAGCCTGCTAATCCTGTCTTGTTCATGATTACATCTTGTTTGGATGATTTTTCTTGGACCATTATGTAAAACTGGTCCATCCATTCTTGGATTCTTTTTCATTAATGCCTTCTTTATTGACCAAAACTAAGCTTTCTTCAGTTTGCTGTGGTGTTTTAATAATTTGAGAATAAGAAAAACTCATTTGATTTAATTAGTGGAGTATAGCCTGATTCTTACATACAACTAATTATTTCTCTCTCAGTCTGATGCTACTAGCACAGTGAATTGAGTTGTCTTTGTACCTGTTTTCTTAAGTGGCTTATATCCCTTCTATAAGACAAAATATTTAGAAACAATTTAAACAGTTTTCAAACAAAGATTTAATTTCATCATATCCCTTATATTTTCATCATATCCCTTATATTTTCTTGTAATTTACCTCTCTCAAAATGAATTACTGGAAAAAGAAACTCAAATGCTAATGAACTGCAAGTTGGGTTCTGTTTATTTGAGATTTTACTATAATTTGCAAACATAATTTAATATGGTGGGCATCCCAAGAGGGTTAAATCCTTTAGATTTTTTCCCTCCAGATCTCAACAGAAATATGTTTGTTACAAAAAGTTTAGAAAACACAAAAAGGCACAAAAGAAGTTAGAATTACTCAAAGTTTCTTTAGATTCTTTATTCTATTTTATCCTTCTTTGGGTT